AATGAAACCAGGCTTAAATTGAGCGGAATCTTAAATGAAGTCAAATTTGATACCTTGTTTTCTCATTCACAGGAAGAGGGGGTTGGGAAATGAGCCCTCACTTGGCTTGGTGTCAAGAGGGACAGACTATATTTCCTTTGTTAACCATTAAATAACCCACCACAATCTGGGCATGAAGACCGGTTTACTACTTTCTCCAGCAAGAACTTTTAAAATATCTTGATGTACTACTTAAATTGATATGCTCTTGAGTTTTAGCACTTGAGACCAACATAGGACATCTTTTGTTTTACGTGCTGGATGTGACACTTCAACTAGGCTGAAACATTTTGCCCAAGAAATATTTGGTATTTCAGGAAGCAGTAAAATGATCCCCCTCTATGGTAAAAAGATTGTGAAAACTTTGCAAAATTCAATCTATTAAGAAAGGCGGCTTGAGGATGCGAACCTGCCTCCACTGACCACAGATATCTTGAAAAATGCTTGGGGATGATCAGGAGGGTCATCTCGGGAAACTTCTCTTGGTGAAGGAGGGGTAGGTGTGGAGGCCCGTTCTTAATGCACTGTCTCTGGGAAGGGTGGGATGTCTGTCTCTTTCCTTTTGTTCCTCGCTCCTTGTCCCCCATCTTGACATGTGGGATGCTGGCAAATGGCCAACACAGGCTCATAAGCCAGGTACCAGGAGTCGCGAGTCAGCTTCATCAACCCCCTGCTGCAGTGCACGCATTGGAGCTCTCTCTGCTGTTAGGATGCAAAACCCTGATCCTGGGGACTCACGACAGCACCGGCTGCAAAAAATGCAATTCAGTCCAACACCTATTTATTGAACACATACTCTGTGTGTAGGGCTGAAAATGAAAACTGTGCCTTTGCCCTCAGGAAGCCTGTTGTCTAATGGGGGATACGGACTCAGATGTCACTAGCTGTAAATGGGATCTGACAAAAGTAAAAACAAAGTGCACTGAGAAGGAGAAAGTTTCCAGAATGAGGTGGCATTTGAGCCTTAAGGTGCATCAGCTTGCAACAGGTAGAAGCAGGTGTGTGGGTGGCAGACCGTCCAGGCGGAGGCATCACCGCAAAGAAAGTGAATTGATGGCAACATAGGTGCAGGAGTGCAGGGTTTGGAGGGAGGTGTGTTTCTGCCCAGGGTTCAGATCATGGTTAGGCCTTGAATGTCATGCAAAGGGGTCTGAAATTTATCCTAAAGAAAATGGGGGAGCATTAAAGATTTCTATTGCGCTTCTTCAGGCCCAGGTGTGTGTTTGGAGAAGAGTCTCTTTATGATCCCGAGGGAGGAAAAAGATGAGAGCCATCTTCGTATCATTTTACCTTTTCCCTTCTAAGCCTCCATTCCCACAGTAGCTAAGAATGTGAGGGGTGGGCTCTGTGTCGGAGGTGGTCATGAGGGAATTTAAGCCCTGGCAAGACAGGGATGAAAGCATGTCATTGTTTTGATAGACGCACTAATCCCTAAAACCAACTGTAGGGAAAGAGGAGAAAATATTTGGGAGTTTTTACAAAATGGAACTCTGACCTAAGGTTGTGCTTTCAAGTGAACAATATTTCAAAGCTTTCTATCAGAGACCGTTTAGAAGGATCTGGCCTCTTGAAGGCTGCCAGGCCTGAAGCTGTGGGCAAGGCTCTTTCCTGAAGAGATTGGCTTCCTCCCAAGACTGGAAAATGGAGGTCGATAGCTCTATCTTTTAACACGGCTACGACTGAAAATGACAACATACACCTCAGTAGCCTCTGTGCTAATGTAAATCCTGGGAGGGAGAGAAGCACATGAAGAGGATGACGACGTGAGAACCTTTAAAAGCAAAACCACCATGAGAAATTCTGCCAGAGAATTTCTCTCTGATCATCCCTGCTTGGATTAGGCTGTTCAAAGCACGGTACACCAGAAATTGACACAACACTGTAATTTAGTGGGGAGGGTATAGCTCAGTGGTAGAGTGCAGCGCTTAGCATGAGCAAGGTCCTGGGTTCAATCCCTGGTACCTCCATTAAAATAATAATAATTAATAAATGGATAAATAAACCTAATTACCTCTCCCACAAAATTAAAAAAATAAATAAATAAAACATATGTTAAAAGACAAACACAGTGCATCCATCCGTCTCATCCTGCATCCATCCACCTAGCCCTTGGAAGCAGCGAAACCCTTTTTCAAAACAGTCATCTATTTGCAAAAGCAGTCTATGGGAATCAAGTATATGTCTGTATATTAGCAATAAATAATTGGGAGGTGAAGTGACGCATGGCTTCCCTGGGCTGCTTGACAGTCTTCACTGAGCCCTTTATGTGTATCAGAAGAAGGTGGCTCCTAATTCATGGTGACTGACTTGTTTAGGCGGAAAGATGCAGAAAGGACCTGCCAACTCTCACACCAGTATGTTAACCAGGAAAAAATCCCATTTCACAGATGAGAAAAGTGACAATAGGGGATAATCTGACCCACAGACAATGAAACCAGTGCAGGCTAATGGTGGGGGCTGGGAGGGAGGGGGATTGAAAGTCACCCCAATGGCCATCAAAATGTAAGAAAGCACAGCGCTCTAGTACATTTACAGTGCTTTTCTTCTTAGTCTGTTTTATATACAGTAGGCATAGCCATTCATATTGTTTGCGAGCTTGTTCCTAGCACTGGGAGAGCAGAGGGACACAAACATAAAAACCCCTGCCCTTGGCGAGCGTCCATGGAGTGAGGGAGATGGAAAATAAACAAGTACATTATGTCGTCTGATCGGTGGTGATGAGTGCCAACTACAAAAATAAATTAGGGAGTGTCATAGAAATATTGGGATGGAACTGGGGAGTTGGAAGTTGACATAGTAAGTCCAGAGAAGGCCTACACAAGAAGGTGACATTTGAGAAAAGATCTGAAAAGCCAGTGAGTAAGCCATGGGGGTTGTGGACAGGACAAATACAGGATGCCCAGGGGAATGTGAATTCCAGATAAACAGAGAACAATTTTTGTAGTATAAGCATGTCCTAAACACTGTAGATTGTCTGCTAAATCTGCAACCCTACACGGGGGTCCCTGAAGGACACACACCCTGGGCAGGAGGGGCAGCACGTGCAGGGCCAGGCCGGCACGGGAAGAGGGGGGAATGGGGTGGGGGTGGGGAGGTGAAGGGGACACGTGGGAGAGGAGTTCGTGCAGAGTCAGGGGCGAGGAAACGTAAGGTCCTGGGAGCCCCGGGAGGACGTGGGCTTTTTTCTCTGAGGAGAATTTTGAGATGATGACAGGCTCTGACTTAGGTCTTAAAAGACTCTTCTGGATACTGTGTTGAAAACAGACTACAGAACGGGGGCAAGGGCAGGAGCAGCACCAGTTAGAGGACGTTATTGCTCTAATGATGATGATGATGATGATGATGACAACAACGGTAATAGTAACATACACCTAGGCACGTGCTCCAAAACGGGCAAATACGTTTGAGGGGTAGCCTCTGAAGCCCCATTCATGGACTCGCCACTAAGAGACCTTGGTTTACATTTATGCAGGAAAGGAATCACTCCTACAAATAAATTCCTTCTACTCACTAAAACACTAACCCAGGAATTTGCTTTACCATTGCATTATCGT